CCTTAAGCCAAACGGAGGCTGCAGAGTTCTGGGGCTCCATCCCACAGGCTCACCCCAGCTCTAGCTGCCACACACTCACCTGATGTCATGGCACCCTGGGCCCACCTCAGGCCAGGCCCTGGCACCAGGAGTTCACGTCAGGTGGAGGAGGTGACAGTGGTGAGGAAGCAGTCTGAGGGGAGGGAGGGTGACCGGGTGGTCCCTGTTACATCCCCTGATGGACCTGTGGGCTGAGGTGAAGTGAGCCAGCCGGTGAGAGGTTAGGCAGAGAGCAGTCTGGCCCTGGGCACGGCTCCTGCCATCTCAGGGAGGTCTGGGAGGGCCTAGTGAGTGTGGCTGAAGCCCCCCGCCGGGGGCGGCAGGGAAGAATTTCAGGCAGGGGAGGGAGGTCACTGAGTGGAGTTAGACAACCGTGCTGGACTGATAGACTGGAGAGATGAGTTAAAACGCTGGTGTCATGTTTTTCTGGGAGGGACAGTGAAGACCTGGATGGAACCAGTGTCCAGGGATGGAAAGCGGCCGATCAGAGAACTGTTTAAGAAGGAAGACAGGGCAGGACCAAGCTGGCCGCAAGCCGGGGTCCCATCGGGGATGGGAAGTGGTATTGGCGGGCTGGGCCTTCCTCCCTCTTGCAAGCACAGGGGTCTCTCCTGAACTTCTGTGGGCAAGGGAGGGGGGCGTTGGGTAGGAAGCGCTGGGCGATGAGGGTCTCAGGGCTGTCACTGCTTCATCGGGCCCCTGAGTTCACCTTTCTCCCCTCCCTGTCTCTGTTCTCACTCCAGAGCACTTCCCCAAGGTCCTGGTTCTGGGTCCCGAACCTTCAAACATCCAGCCCACGACAGGGAAGGAGGGAGAGGGGACAGGGACAATAGTTAGCTGCTGGAGAGGGTTGCCACTTCCTGGGGAGACTAGAGACGGCGGTAGGGAGGGCTGAGTCTGGCACCCGGGTGGGGTTGCCAGCGGTCCCATCTGGGCCAGCTAATCTGCAGGGAGGCTCTCCTGCAGTGTGACTCGCTGGGACCAGGAGGGAGGTGTGGCTTCTGGCCGTAGTACCCTGCCCCCTCCGGGATGAGTAGTGTGGGGAGGCATGGCCAGCTGCCTCAGCTCTAAGTCGTTGCACTGGCTGTGGAGTGTCTCAGCCCCACCCTGACCCAGTTGTATTTAAAACGCTAGCCTGTGTGATTCATCCTTGGATTCTGGTACTGAGCCTGCCGGGGACGACCTTTGAGGGCTTTCACACAACCTACAGTGGCTAGCCTTTTAGGGAGCGCCTGTTAGGGCAGAACGTCCCCCACCCCCACCCTAGGCATCTGCCAGCCCTGGGGTGCCCTTCCCACCTTCTCATGCAGCCCTGTCCCGGGCCAGGGCGGCTGCCCTTCTAAAGGCTGTAGGCAGTGGGAGGGTGAGTGGAGACAAGTTAATCTTCCTCTCCAGGTGGTCCCCCCGCCACGTGAGTGTAAGGCCCCTTAGCTTTGCTGCTGTTTTCGGGTGCCATCGAGTTGATTCCTGCTCATAGTGACCCCGTGTGTTACAGAGTAGAACCACCCCACAGGCGTGGTTTGGCTGTTACCTTCATGGAAGCAGACCGTCAGGCCTCTCCCACAGAGCTTGCAGCCTTTTGGTTATGGCGGCACCACATTGAGGCATCTGGTGGTGTTGGCCTAGGGGCGCAGCTGTTGTTAGCAGTCCTTGTGAGGGGACTGGTCAATGTTAGAATGTTAGAACCTGAAGAATGAATCTGGGAAGGAGGGGGTTGGGTTAGGCAAACGTTTTCTAGATCCCAGGTACCTTTTTTTCCTTCTAAGATTGGTTTTATTGAAGTGTAATTTGCCTGTGATAATGTGTACCATCCCGTCGTCACCCCCACAGCTGTGGTGTCAGTCACATCATCCCAGAGTGCGCGGAGCTCCTCCTCCAGCCCATAGCAGGTGCTGAGCGGCTTTCTGTCACGTTGGGTTGGCCTTTCCTAGAACGTGTGTTCTGGTTACCTAGTGCCACTCTGACAGGAATATACCACGAATGGAATGGCTTGAACACACAGGAGTTTATTCTCTTACACATATGGAGGCTAGAAGTCCAAGTTCAGAGTGCCAGGCTCTAGGGCACTTGATCTGAACTCTGCCGGCTGCTCCCAGCCCCCTGAAGCTGGAGGCTCTCTTCACTCAGGCAGCTGCTAGCTGCGACAACTGACAAACCCAAGGTCAACAAGTGAAAGGCACAGTCCCAATGTTACCAAACCATACAGCAGGCCAATAATTCAAGTCCATTGAAAGTCCCAAGATCAGCAGAGTGTGGCAGGCTGCTGAACAATGACATTTAGGGTTCAAGTTTACCGTGAGCTAGGGACCGTTCCCCAGTTTCTCCATTCTGGATGCAAAGGCAGCTACTCAGCTGTTCACAGTAGATTCCACCGTGAATGCAGTTGACTACCAGTCTCATCATGGGGAATAATACTACATGCTGTGCAGCCACTTAACCTGGCCAGGCCGAGTGGACTCACAAACTTAACTGCCACAGCATGTAACCTTTGTGCCGGGCCTTTTCACTTGGCCTGATGACTGAAATCCATTCATGTTGTCAAATGCATTCGTGGAGGGCTCCTTTTACTGTGGAGCACCCCACTGAATGGCTGTACCACACACAGCTTGGCTCTCCACCGCCCTGTTGGTGGACATGTGAATTGTCTCCAGTTTGGGGCTATTATGAATAAAGCTATGAACCTTCATGCACATGCACTTTTATTTCTCATTTTTCTCGGTTAAATACTTAGGAATGGGAGTGCTGATTTGTGTGGTAAGCGTGTGTATCGTATGCTTAACTTTATAGTAATTACCATGCCTCCATACTGTTTTCCACAGTGGCTGTACCATTTTACATTCCCACGAGAAGTGTGTGAGTGTTCCAGTTGCTCCCCTTCCTTGCCAACACTTGGTGATAATTTTAGCCATTCTTGTGGCTGATAGCTCGTGGTAATTTTGGTTTGCATTTCCCAAAACACTGATGATGATGAACATCTTTTCATGGGCTTGTTTGCCCTTCATTTGGCAAATTTGGATACTAGGTGCCTTTCTAATTTCGGTAGCCAATGTTTTTTAGGAAAAGTATTAATTGAGGAATTACATATAAAGGCCAGCTGTATGGTAAGTGCTCCATCTTAGGGGTGAAAGAAGTACTATGAAAACTCACCCCTCCCAAAATTAAAAACAAAAAACAAAACCCTTTTTGAGCACCTATTACACCCTAGGTGCTGTGATGATGGCTCAAGGGATTAATGATCTATTAAGCAGGTCACACAAAGGTTGGAGACAAAGGACAAGAAGGTTGTCAGATGTGTTGCAAGTGCCTTAGGCCGTGCTCAGTGCTTTAGATGCACAGAACAGGAAGAGCGGGGCAG